ATATATATATTTATATATAAAGTGCTACTTAAGAAACGTTTCGTCAGTGGAGGAAGGAAAAAAAAAAAAAAAACTAGCTAAGGATATGCATAAGAAAAAACATGAGAAAAAATTTCATTAGGCGAGGGAAGAACAGATCCTTCCCCAGATATTGGGCATAGATGACAGTCATGCTTCGCTTGTCACAACTATGTGATGAGATTGTATAGCTTTTCGTGAGCTAAATTTCTTTTGTTTTTTTATTTCGTCGTTTGTTTATTTTTTTTTGCTTTTTGCCATCATTAGCGTCATCATGTTCTCTATTACATAGCATCACGTTCTCTAATACATAATCTATAAAAGAAATCTTGGAGACTATTTATGAAACAAAAAATACTTGACCTATTTCCACCCGAAGCATGGGTTTTGTTTCACTTGCACTATAATAAATTCCAGACTGCATACACAACTCATCAAGATCTAGAATCAGGATAAACGAATATAGAAATTGGACACATCCATATAAAAAAAAAGAAAAAACATACTTTTCTTAGAAATTTTTTTCCATGGTTTCTACTATTCATGGATGTGCAGCCAATGTGAAAAATGAAGAAAAAAATTGAAATTTTACCTTAGAAGAATGAATTACAAGCTCCGGTAACGCTAATCAACGGTAGTTTTCCGCTGACTTCGATTTGAACTCGTTTTTCTCACTTTGGGAATTTTTTTTCTCTCTTTCTTTGTCTGAGTGCTCCCTGTTTTCATGCATGGAAATGAACATTTTTCTTGTATTTTTTCTTTATAAAACCGTTCACAAAAAGAGAGGAGGGACCTAGGTGTAATTTTGGCACTTTCTATGGTCTTTTTTGTAAAAAAAAACTCAAAATATCTATTTGGCTTCTCCCCTAAGTCTTGGCTGGCCATATCCTCTCTTTCTAGGTATCCTAATCTCAGCCCTCAATCCATTTAATCACCTTAAATCTCAACCATTCATTGTTAATAACTATCATATTTCGGTTCAGTTTAATTCCTATTCGGTATGCGTTTTACCCGTGTTTTTCGGACAGTTGGTCAACTTGGTCAACTTTACTCAACCTTGACTAACTTTTCAAGAGTGACCTATTAGTCGACTCTTGGTCAACAATTTCGACTCGGTCAACCCTAATCGGTCGAAAACCCTAATTTTCTCAGTTCGGCCTTCCGAAGCCCTTTTTCGTATGCTCTCAGTTCTAATTATTTCTAAGACTCATGTTTTTCAATTCTTTTTTGTTTCTTAAACTTAATATTCATGTGTTTGTCCTCTTATGGGAATAACACATCGTTCTGTGCCTCTTTCTTGATTACAGTCCGAAAGTCAATAACTGTATCATAGTTCAGAAATTTCTGGCTTTTAGCTTGTACTTTGCTATTCAATATCAATATCAACAAATACTTATCATAAGAGTATTCATATTTATAATACAAAGAATTCTAAAAAATTTCATCTTATACAATAATTTCTTCAACAAATTTTCCAGTCATTACATGAGAATCTTGGTAATTATGAGCCCGGGAGGTGATCAAATGCTTAGATAATTATTGAATGGTTGAGCTTAATGAATGTGTTTATACCCAAGTTAGATAGGATATTGGCTTGTTTATTTGCACATGTTGTCTTCCTTGACGCTCGGGAGAGGTAGCAAGACTAACTTAGAAATCTTAGATTAATGAATTGAGTTAAATTAATTAGCAACCACTAAATAGGTAGACATAGGTAGAATGAAGCGTAGTAAAAACCCTAGATCTCTATCATTATTTTTATTTCCCGTCATAGTTTCAATATTTAGTTACTTATTTGGTTAGATCTTGTGTTCTAGCTTTAATATTTCGCTTGCCTAGATAAAATTTAGTCACAAACACTCATGGTAGTTAGTTTAATTCTAAAAAATTCAATCCTTGTGAGACGATATTCGACTTTTTAGTCACTTTATTACTTTTGCGACCCGTGCACTTGGAAAAAATTTTGCAGTGAGGTCTAAAAGTACAGGAGTCTCTACATAAAGATTTAAGAAGTTTTACGTTCCTGTGTATCAAAAACCTGTGAATATCCTTAAGGTCTTTTGGCACTTCCAATATTTAAAGAAGAAAAATGCCAGTGTAGTAATTTTAATCTTAACTTCACTGTACCAACTGAATTGAGTTGTCACTTTTTTTTTTAAGTATTAAAAGATTATCATGTCAATTAATAATTACTAATTTCGTTAACAATGAATTAATGGCAACTCACAACTATAAAAGTTAATAAAAGAAGTTGGAATTAAAGTTTGTGTCCTTTCCATTATGCTCTGTAGAAAACAAGGAAAGCAAAACAAAAGAAAATAAAATAAAAGAAAGAAGAGCATTTGGAGTTACAAATTACGCAAAGAAAGAGGAAAACAAAAAAACAAAAAAAAGAGAGAGAGAAGGAAAGGCTTGAACTATAAGAAAAAAAAATACATGTTTTTCGCATTTTTTCCATTCTCTTTGCATTAATCGACCTATTCTCGACATCGATTATCAGAACTAGGGAATATGATTTATTTTTGGAGGTATAAAAAGTGCTAATAAAAAAAAAATCTTAAAGTGGGTAAATTTATTAAGCTGCCGAAAGTAATTTTATCCTAGCTAGTACAATGATGGATGTCTCTTTTCATAATTTTACCAAGCAAGTCCCCCCTTGTCATGAATGCAGCCTATTAAGAACAATGGTAATATGTTAGTTACGGAATTAAATTTTATCACCAAAAAGGTTTTATAAATTTCATATGATCATTTTGCTTATTTTAATGTTTATTTGCTTCCATATATATACTGAAAACCAAACCTTGAGCAGTACAGTGTTCTAGATGTTTAATTAGATTCTATATAAAAAATAGTATGCATCATTATGGGAATAATCTAATCTAAATACAGATACAAAAAGTACCAAGTAAACATAAATACGTACTAAAAAACTTAACCTATTACTCAGCTAGTTCCTGGCCGCCGATTATTACGGATTTCAGCACCCAAATAGGCACTTTTGACATGTATTAGATCCTTGACGACATCTCCCATGTTCATCCTCTCTTTCGGTGTCTCTTCTGAACAAGAAATTCCAATCTTGAGGATTGAATGTAAGCATTTCCCCGTATTAGTGTTCATGATCATCTGAGAATTTGGCATGATCATCTGAGAATTTGGCATACTCATCAATCTCAATGCACTAACTTCTCTCGTCGATGTTCTGTGTTCCGCTTGATCGATTCCGATGAGAAGAGCTCTGTCCACTACTTGAACAAGTCTTTCTGGCAATGACGTCTTTACAAAATTATGGAGAGTTGAATCATCTTTGAACATTTCATGTGTTGGTCGCTTTCTTGTAAACGTCTCCAACAAAAGGATTCCGAAGCTATATACGTCCCCTTCTTTTGATAGGTCGGCACCCATTGCGTACTCTATTAGCATAAATATGTTAGTGAGGAATTTCGGATCCATTTATAGCTGCAAATGTGTATACCACATTTTCATGTTTTGTTCATTTCTTTTGACATGGAAACAATTCATTGACTCAAAGAGGAAGGCCTAAAATTATGCAGAGGTGTTCAGAGAACTCTAAAGAATTTTTATAATTAATAATGATCAAATAAACTGCATGACAAAATAACAATAAAGTCAAAACTAGTAATCCTATCTCTAGTAGAATTCAAAGTCCAAAATTCTAACGTTTATCACAAAAAGGAAATAAACATAATTATCCTAAAACAAATAAAAAAAAGGAGAAAGAGGGAAATAGGCCAAGACTTGAGATGAATTAAAATTAATAGGTCAATAGTTTACATAAGTTAATAAATAGGCCAAATTACTGTTTTCGTCCATAACTTGTCTGGTTATGAACCATAACTTGACAAGTTATTGTCCATAATTGTCCATAACTTGTCTGGTTATGAACCATAACTTGATAAGTTTGTTCATAACTTATTTGGTTATGAACCATAACTTGACAAGTTATAACCTATTAATTTCTATAACTAAAAATTAGCCTATATACTTTCTTAAGCCTTTTATATTGGCCTATTTTTTACTATTTCCCTAAAAAAAATCCTGAAGACAAAGGCCCAATTTGAAAAGCAAATAATTAACGATAATCTTCCTATAGATAAGTTGTACGGCTGCATGAGTTGATGTATAACCAACACTCAATGAGAACTAGGAACATTTTGAAATGATTTAAAATAATTGGACTGAAAAAATTATATGAAAAATGAGTACTTCCGTAAGAGTATTGCACATAATAATGTAAATGAATGTTTAAGTATCAATTGGGGTTAGTCAGTAGAAATATAAAACTGTCACAGAAATAATTAAAGAAGACAAATAATTTCCAAGTTACCTGGGGCAGTGTAGCCGATGGAACCTCTTATTCCAATGGAGCTGCTTTGAAATGAAGAAAATGGAAGAGAAGGATTGCCGAGGAACCTTGCCAATCCGAAATCTCCAACATGAGCAGTCATGTCGTCATCCAAGAGAATGTTGCTTGGTTTTAAGTCCGAGTGAACTATTGGAACATGGCAGTGATTGTGCAGGTAATCCAGAGCATTCGCCACATCAATAGCAATGTTTATTCGTTGGATAAGACTCAAATGTCTCTCTTCTTCCGAATTCAACCCTTGACGAGGATGCAACCACTCCTCTAGACTCCCGTTGATCATTAGCTCATACACCAGAGCTTTGAAATCATTCCCTTGAAAATCAGTGCTTGAACATGCTGTGAGAAGTTTGACTAGATTTCGGTGCTTAATACTCTTCAGGACTTTGCATTCTGCTATAAAACTTTTTATTGCTCCTGCAGTTTGAAGGTTTAAGACTTTCACAGCAACAATCAATCTATTTTCTTGATTCAACGTTCCCTTGTATACGGACCCAAAACTTCCGGTACCAATCAAATTTGCTGAAGAAAACTCATCAGTCGCTTTAAGAAGATCTCGATATGATACTTCCAAGAAAGAAATCCCAAACCGAGTTGCGAAAATTGACTTGGCATTTCTTTTCGTTGTCGAGCAAGTAAGCATTGTAAACAGAGATACAAGCATGAGGGCAACAACTCCACACACAGCTGAGACAATTATGATCTTCGGCTTACGAGTTTTTTTGTTCTTCTTAATGGCAGGGCATTTGGGAAAACTTAACTGAGGTATACCTCCACAAAGCTTTGTATTTCCTATGATGGAGATGGCACTTGCATTTTTGAAGATTCCTTGGGTAGGGATCTCACCATCAAAGTTGTTAAATGACAAATTTAGTATTTGCAAGTACCGAAAACCCTCCAAGAAGGTTGGAATTTTTCCAGACAAGTTATTGTGAGAGAGGTAAATTTCTTCAATTGCTATCAAAGATTTAAGGGACTGAGGAATGTTCCCTTGGAATAAGTTTTCATGTAAATACAAGGATTCCAAGCTTATACAGGTACCGAGTGTTTCAGGAATATGACCAGTAAAATAGTTATGATGTAAAGCTAAAAGTGTGATGGATGGAAAACCAAGCACCTCTTTTGGAATGGTACCATTAAGATTGTTTTGAGAAACATCCAATTCCCGCAAATTCTTACATTCTCCAAGATTTAATGGTAAGCTTCCTTGTAGGTTGTTCGATCTCAACCCTAACACGTTCAATGATGTTAAATTCCCAAAAGAAGAAGGAATGGTACCTGCTATGTTATTACTTTGTAAATCAAGCTCGTACAACGTTTGCAATTTACCTATTGAGCTTGGTATATGACCGATTACTTGATTGTCTTCAATACCCAATCCCTGTAAGTTGACAAGATTTCCGATCCCCGTGGGAATGCTTCCTTTAATCGCATTGCTTCCCAACATAAGTAACCATAACTTCGCTGAGAAGTTGCCTATACATTCAGGCAACACTCCTCCCAAGTTGTTTTGGCTAATGGCTAACTGCTCCAAATTAGTCAAATTGACAAGAGAAGAGAGAAACTTCAAGTCATCATCCTCGCCATATCCAAGATTATTTTCTTGCAATAGAAGAATCTTCAAACTGGGCAAGCCAGAAAAATCAGGAAGTTTTCCTGTAAATTGATTGGACAAGATTTGAAAGTTAATGAGCTTCGAGGCATTGGAGATACTCGGAACTGGCCCGGTGAATCGGTTCGTATGGAAGTAAACGGTTTCGAGGTTTGGAAGTAATAAGTGGCCCAACTTGGGAGGAAGGTTTCCTTCAAGTCTATTTGTTTCAACAGAAAAGAATCGGATTAAAGAGAGATTGAATATTGAGGGAGGGATTGTACCGGTCAACTTATTGTCACCTACTGAAAGATAACTCAATCTTTTCAGTTGATCAAAGCTACTTGGAATACTTCCATGCAGATTGTTTGAGTCAACATTTAAAAACTCAAGAGAATTGGAAAGATTTGCAATTGAGCTAGGAATTTCACCATTTAAATTGTTTAAGGGGAAAGCAAGGCTCTTAAGATGGGATAATGAGCCCACACCTTCAGGAATTTCTCCAGTAAGATTGTTCTCTTGTATAAAAAGGTGCTTGAGTTTAGAGCAACTCGAAATGTTTAGAGGAATCTTGCCAATAAAAGAATTGAAATCGAGGATTAAGGATCGAATCCGAAACAAACGACCTATTTCTTCTGGGATTTCCTGGCTGAAGCTATTGTTATTAAGGTTTAATATCCTCAGAAAACTCAAGTTTCCAATATGAGGAGATAGCTTACCCCCAAGCCCGCTAGACTGGATGTCGAGTATAGTGACCCTCCGGTGTCGACTGCTACATACGACGCCTTGCCACTCGCAGAAATGTTGAGAGTCATTCCAAGAATTCAGAACTCCGAGAGGATCCGTCACTTTTGCCTTGAATTCAAGCAAGGCGAGCCTGTCTTTGTCGTTTCCTCCAAGTTTTGAGAAGGCTGAAGTGAAGAGAAAGAGTTGCATGGAAAGACATGACAAGAACACGGCTAAACCAACGCCTGAAATTTTCATGATTGGGAAACAAAACAAGAACAGAGCTGATTTTAGGAAGTAGTTCTAAGGGAAGTAGTTCAAAGGTGATTGAATGCTTGAGTTTATCAGAGGGTTTAAAACCCGGAAAGTCAAGACGAACGCATGATCTACTCACTTGGCAGGAAGCTTACGTAAAAGATAAGATTCTCATGGAAAATTGGATGGTACTGGTCAACTTTGATTGAAAGTTGACGCCTTAAATTCTTGCAATTCTTGGTTGGTCCGTTACCAAAAGGAAAGTGGATTGACTTGACTTTGATTCATACTGTCGTGTTGATATTTTTGTAAATTTTAGGCTCGTTTAGTTCGCTAATTTAAGTTTTTAATTTGAGTTGAGATGTGATTTTATGTGAGAAGTTTTTACTGTAACAAAAAAGTTAGATGTGACTGTTTCTGAAAACTTTTTTCTGTAGCAAAACTCGAATTCTAAAATCGAATCGGTGAAATGAACGGGATCTTAAATTACATCAAATGCGTATCTCAGAATTTCTGATTACCTACGTTAAACACGTGCATTAACCACAAAATTATAGTGTTAACTCTTGTGAATTCATTTTAAAAATCCCATCTATTATGGCATGCGTCTTTGTCTACCTCAAACTTTAAAACATAAAAATTACACCAAAGTGAAATGTTTTAAAAAAAAAAAAAACTCCTGATTTCCAGTTCCACCAAAAAATTTGACGGCATTGGACACATGGAAATATGGGAATTTGGTTAAAATAACCAAGTGAAAAAGTAAAATTAAGAAAATGACTTTTTAATTTTAATTTTATTTATTTCCAATATCAACGCGAAATCCGGCAAGATTGGGGCTGAGCTCGGCGGCGGCGGCGCTAGTAGGTTGTTGCCAGCGGGATTTGCGGTGAGAGACGGCGGGAGATGAGGATGGCTTGTGGGACGAGGCCGGAGATTCAGAGCTAGGGTTTGGATTTCTATAAATATATATATATATGTGTGTATATATATACGCATGAGAATTTAGCTGAGGTTGTGCGGAATGGTGGAGGAGAGAGAGGATAGGAAGTGGTTTAGAAGATGATTTTCTATTCTATTTGGGCGGAAGAGGAGAAAATTTTCAGGGAACGTTTCTGGAGTAAAGAAAGTCATTTTGCAAATAAAAGTTTTTAAAAAGTTATTTTACTAATAAAATTTTCCTATTGAGTTATTTTTACAAAGACCTCTGAAAATATCTAGAGTTATTCGTTTCTAAACTATGACTCATGCTTAGGTTGCTTTCTGAAACGTAAAAACACACCCATTCAAATAGATATGAAATATCCAAAAAAGAAAAATGTTACCATGGCATATGGCGCCACTAAACGGGCCTTATCAGGCTCCAAAGAGCCATAATGCATCAGCGCGCAATTTAACCTCGTACACCCAGGATGGGACGGAGGACAGCTTGCTCAAGCCCCCACTCAAAAAGTTTTTGGGTAATCTTGACGTTTTTTTTTTTCCTTTTTAAATATTATTAATTGAAACACGCGCTACGGCGTGTGATTATTGAGTATGTTATGGCCTCGTTCATTTCGCCGATTCGAGTTTAGAATTCGAGTTTTGCTACAGTAAAAAGCTCTCAGAAACAATCACATCTAACTTTTTTGTTACAGTAAAAAGCTCTCATACAAAATCACATCTCAACTCGAATTACAAACTCGAATCAGCGAAGTGAACGGGCCCTATATTTTTTAGATACGCACATTTAGAAAAAAGAAATATTAACAACAAAAAAAAAAAATTTAGGCAAGCATATATTTGAAATTGTTTAAATGAGAGCATATTAGGAGATAAAGTTTAATAAGACAAAATTAGAAAACTTAAGTTTTAAATTGAACAAAAAGCAAAAGGATCAAAATGCATGTTTTAAATTAGGCAAAAGTGTTTCAGTATAAACATAAGATTTTCTTTTTATAAAGTGACAAATGAAACATTATGCATGATTGATTCTATGTTTCCTCCGTTCGTATTCAAAAACTCATTTACACTTAGGGAATGAAAACAAAAGAAAATTACTATTAAAGGCAATAGGTAAGCAATAGTGGGCCAAAAAAAAAAAGCAATAGGTAGGAAAGAAAAAGAGAGAAGAAAAATATAAAAAAAAGTCTAAAAATAAAAAAGAAAAGAAAATAGAGAAAAAAAAAAAAAACATAGAGAAAAAGTGGAGGCCAACATGTGACTCCATAGAGGCCACCACATGACATCCTTAATACTATTGTAGTACTAATAAGCCCCCACTAAAGTCCTCCTTTGGTAACCAAAAACCCCTTTTGTAATAGCCCAATAATTATAAATGTGGTCTACTAACATTTCAAAGGCCTGTTTATATTACTTAAAAGAAAAAAGAACAATGAAAAACATCCTTTCCCCAAGTAGCTGTCCACTTTCTACGACTTTTCTACTCCTCCCCCATTTGTCTGATTCAATTTCAATATCAAGCATCAGCCATTAGAGACTGAAAAAAAAAAAAAAAAAAAAAGCACACTTGAATCTTGAGTCTCTAATCTCTTAACACCATTGTCTTTATACGATTTCAAAGAGATAACTGATGGACGACACTTTTGTCTTGTTGTCCAAGTCTTCAAGAGGACCAAGACCCTTCATTAGAGGATTGCTCATGTGCCTCCGACCTTCATATAGGTAATTTTCTCAATAGTTTTTATTTTTGTACTCATTTTTATAATTCTATTATTGGTTGAATTATAATGGTTCATAGTTGAATTTTTAGAGAGACTTGAATTGTTAGATTGTTCTTACAATTGTATTTTAGAGAGTAGAATATGATTACTTTTGAATTATAATGGTTAATTATTGAACTTTGAAAGGGAATTGTTGAATTGTAGAGAGTAGAATATGATTACTTTTGAATTATAATGGTTAATTATGGAACTTTGAAAGGAAATTGTTGAATTGCTATTACTATTATATTTTAGAGAATATAATTTGATTATTTCTTTTAGGGGAAAAGATTTGATTAGTCAAAAACCCTACAATCATAATGTTTACTTATTCATCTGTATTGTATAAAAAAAATAAATAAAAAATTCATTATGAATTTCTAATATTTAGGTGACAATTTATTAAAAAGGTATGAAGAGGTATTTTAAAAGTTTATCAAATTTAATCGAATTTTTTGAGTATTATCCAGAAGAGTTTTCTGTCGTGGAGCTCATGGTACTTGCTACTCAACTTGAAACTTACATCATCAATATGGGTTCTAGTGAGCAGTTTTTGGGATTAAAAAGTATTGGTAATCTTGCACAGAAAATGGTTGAGACAAGAAAGAAGAACGTCTATCCACAAGTTTATCGGCTTCTAACATTAGCATTAATTCTACCGGTTGCTAGTACTGCTGGAGAGGGTATTTTTTGCTATGAATTTTGTGAAAGAATCGACTATGCAATTCAATGAGAGATCAGTTTATGAATGACAATTTCTTGTGTCCATTGAGAAAGACGTACTTTTCAATAGCCTTGATAATAAAGTTATTATGCAACATTTTCCAGGCATGAAAACTCATTAAGGACAATTATAGTGCATTAATAAATATTTATTTAAAAAAAAAAATTCATTTAGTAATTAGCCCCCTACTGGCAAAAGTTTTTGGCTCCGCCGCTGAACGGGATGTTTACCTGGAGGCAAAGTAGTGGAGGACGACGTGCTATTACTCACAAGAGACTGCAATTCAGCAAACATAGCATCTCGCCACTCCGGGAGTGAAACAGCCTGACCATATGTGGTAGGTTCGAAATGGGAAGAGATGGCTGACACAAAGGGTCAATATGAGGGAGATAATTTGTCATAATTGAGGACTTTAGAGAGTGGATGATGTGGAATGAGTAAGGGAGTAGCAATGATAGTCCTGAAGTTCAGACGGAGGTCTAGTGACACAAGTTGGTCGAGTGGAGGAAGTACTAGACTCTGGAACATCAGATAAAGGGATTGGCAATACACAATTGGAGAATAAATCAAAAGTATGTTTTGTTGAGTATAGAAAGTGAATGTTAAATAGGTTATATATATAGAATGACTTAAGACTTAATAGATTAACTTTTTAGGTCAAGATGAGCCTCTTGAAGTGTATTTGGCCAATTTCACAATTATGTCTTCCCAACAAGTGGTATAAGAGCTGATGGTTCGTATGGATTAAGTGATCACACTCAGTTTCAGTTCCCACGTTGCCTCCCGTGAAGAGCGCAGTTGGTGCTGTTGCAGGTGCGGATGGTGGAGTATTCGGTGGACTCGCATGCTTTCGGCTCTTATCCATGCTCGAGTTTGGCTCCAGTTTGAAGTGTGATGCTAGGACGTGTCGGCTATTAGAAATTTTAGTTCGAGGGGGAACTCGGTGAAAATACACATGAGAGAGAGATTGTTGAAAAAAGTGCATGTGTTGTCTCACATGAAAAGTGGATGATGATGTGAAATAGTTTATATATATATATATAATGAACTTTTGGGGTTAAATTGGACTCCTGAAGTGTATTGGGTCAGTTTCACATGTGTGTCTTTCTAGCTGTTTAGGAAAATAGATTATAGAACACGATATCTGTAAAGATAAAAGCTATATTAGTAGAGAGATCAAGAAGTTTATTGCCCTAATTTTGTAAATAATCCTTTGTCTAAACGTATAAGCAGTAGATCACATATTTTAATTCGCTTAGTTAGTCAAATAATTTGACGGGGCCATCATGCAACTTGGAAAAAACATGGGCACTAAGCACACCACTTTAAAATAGGAGTTTTGTTAACTTCAAATTACAATTATGTAGGTATATGGAATTATGAGCTTTCTGCGATTACTCTTTCTGCGAGACTCCCAAGTTGACTTGTGCACAGTTCAAGCTTAATGACTCTCTGGTGTCGGGGACAACAAAAAAAATATATATATATATATATATATATATATATATATATATATATAACAAACTACTTTTAATACAAATTGTTGAAAAAGGAGCCTTTTCGGTAGTTAGTATTTTCAGTGCAAGAAATCTCTAATAAGAAATTGAGCTCAATGTAGGAAATTTTTGAGATTATTAGGTGAAGCATCTACATTTTTATTACGGTAAAAAGCTCTCAGAAACAGTCACATTTAACTTTTTTACTACAGTAAAAAGTTCTCACAAAAAACCACATCTCAACTTGAATTAAAAACTCGAATCAGCGAACTAAACGGGTCAGTGAGTAAACGGTATCTTTGTTATGAGTAATGCTTTATTTTGTCAGAGCAAATATAATCAATAACCCAATAAAACTTGTTAACTTTTTTTCTTCTCTCTTTTCTACTAACTAGTTGAAACCACGCGCTACACTTGTGTATTCAACGTGTTATATCCTTTTGGATATGGTTTAAAATTTGTTCAAATTGTTTTATTGACTTAGTATTCCTTTAAGAGTGTACTTTGGCCAAAAAAATTAAAAATAAACAATTTAAGTAGAGCATAGATAAAGGAAAACAAAGTTTTTAGTGGAATGAATTAGAAAATAAATTATTTATGGGTACATATGAAAAACATATTTAAGAAGTGTACAAGGAAAAAAATATTTAGATAGAGGCACATTTGAGAATATATGGTATCAGTAAAGCAATTAGACAAAAAAATAGTGTATGAGGGCCACATTTAGAAAAAGAATATTGAGTATACTCATATGTAAGAGAAATTATTTAAAAATATCAGATAAATTAGAGTAGTTTTATTTATGAGTTAAACGGTAGTTAAGAATGACACCAAGAAGAAACACATGTAAATATGACGTGAAGAAAAAGTGTTTCGAGAAACAGATAAAAAGAGATTAAACTGCATAACAACCTTTAACAAAAAGGAAAAAAAAAAAGATATATATTCAAAATAAATTATTTTAGTAAGTACAAAGCCAGAGAAAAAAAGTATTTCAAAACAACACATCGTAAAAGAAATTGAGCTGTATAAGAACTTTGGGAAAAAAATAGGAAATGTTAAAAAAAACAGAGAGAGAGAACAAAACAAAAATTTAATATTTATATAATGTGTCAAAAGGAAAGAGAAGTCTCCTTATGATGCCACATATTAAAAGGAGGGAAAAATCTTTAGACTCTTTTATGTATGTTAAAAATAAAAGGCGCAATAATCGCTAAATAGTCATGAGATAAAGTGTCTCCAAAAGGTCCCTCCACAAATTCAACAGAAGAACCCTTTTTTTTTTTTTTTTTTTTTTTTTTTTTTTTTTTTTAAACTATTTTTTTTAAAAAAATAAAAAAAAAATAACTCTAAAAAAACCCCTTTTTTTTTTTTTTTTTTTTTTTTTTTTCTTTTTACGAACTAGTTTTTATCAAAACATATAAACAGTAGATCACACATATTTCAATTTACTTAGGTAGACAAATAATTTAACGTGGCCAAAATGCAACTTGAAAAAAATCACGCGCACTAAGCACACCACTTTAAAGATGGGAGTTTTGATGATACGGAATTATGAGTTTTCACCGAGTGCTCCACCAATCAATGTCTCCCCGTTTCCACAACACTCCTACTCGGAAAACACGCTTTTGGTCCAAGCAACGTACTCCAGCGGCCAATACCTGCCTTCAGCTCCCACACTTATTTTAAATTTGTTTAGTCATATTAGAGTACCGTATTGTATAATAATAAAATAATATAATATTTTATGTGATTATTATATTGTATAAATTAATACGGATGATAAATTAATACGGTCTAAATCGTATTATTGAATATGACTTATTTTTAATGTATTATATTGTATTATTTTATAATGAATCAATAAATTATGTCGGGGTTGGGCAAGACTAGGTCAGGCTCAGACTAACATTGGGTCATGTAGTAGCTTATAATTGTTAAAAAATTTAGGAGGTACATTTTGATCCTAAAACTTTTGTAAAATTATATTTTGACCCCAAAAGTTTTCAAAATTTACATTTTGACCCTAAAATTATTAAAATTTTACATTTTAACTCTTTATACAATACTCATGACATCAAATATCGTATTATATTATGATAATATAATACAATATAACACAATATAATACATCTTATACAATACAATACAAGCTACCAAACATGGCCCAATGGACAATCATATTTACTACAAAGTGAATAGAAAACTTAAGTGGTACATTTATGAGAAGGAGAAAGATAGTCAATTAGTAAGGGTATATTTGAAAAAGAAATTATATCAATAAATTAGGAAAAGAAAAGGTATTTTTAACGAAATACATCTTAAAATATATATACTATTACATAGAAAAAAGGGTAAAAATAGTATAAGATAATAAGTGAAAAATTTAAGAGCAAAATAAAACAAAACAAAAAAATAATAATAATAACGTGAACGAAACGCCTGGCTAGGTGAAAGACAAAGATGTAGTGTTGTTTGCAGTTCTTATATATGTTAAAGATTTCAAATCTTCCAAGCAAAATGTACGGTTTGGTTTCATAACATTTATGTATAAACAAGTAGGAAAACAATTAGCGGGTAAATCAAACAAGAAACTAATTATACGGAATATGTGAAAAAATAGTAGTTGAAAGGGCTTCATGAAAAAAAAATGTAGAAATAGCATTACATATTTATGAGAATTGTTACACCATGGTCGAGCAATCGACCATTCTCTTGAACGACAAGCGCCGAGGACTCCCCGTTGAGAATCGGTCGTTGGCGTCGAGGGAACCACTGTAGCTAAAGTGTCCTTTGGACGTCGAGAGCCCACGCAGGGCGATGCGCGTCGAGCACCATGACTCGACTTGTGGTGGTCATTACGTCGAGGCAACATGTCCAGTCAAATCCGTCAACAATCTTGTCAACTCAGGAAAGGATGTACTATGCCAACTGCTACTGTCACAGCCAGAAAATCAGGTAGTCGGTAAGAGAGGTTGGCCTGATTTCCTGAGATTGTCATCATGAAAATGCACCTACGCCACCCCTAAATCCCGGGATAGAAGATTGCTCCCTCGGGGGGATGCAGATGAGATCATTATATGTAAAAGCCTATAAATAGAGCCAAGAAACCCATTGAAGGGTTAGACACTATTCCATTATTTAGGGAAGAACTTGTAATCTCAGAAAGATTAGTGTATCCACAAGTGAACTAGGCCAAGAAATCTTGTCGAACCACTATAAATCCTTGTGTTCTTTACGTTATTTTATTGCTTTTAATCTCTAATTAACCCGTGAGTGTTACTGTGAGAATCACCAGAGAGGTAATTACGAGTTGTTAGAAAAACATCGTCAACAAGAATTTATCTGAATGGTAACAAATTACAAAAATAATATTTATAAGAAAAAAATAACGATTGAGCGAAAGAGATGTTTAAAAAGAGAGAAAAAAAAAACTATCTACTAAGCCAAAAGAAGAAGAATATTTATAAGAATCAGTTTTGATACTCTGAGTAATTACATAAAAAAAAGTTAAGAACGAACATATTTGTAGAAAAATATTTAATAGGAGCGAGAAAGGAGAAAAAAAACTATTTTGAAAAAAGAACATTGAAAGAGAACTAAATCTATATGAGCAAAAAAATGAAGTAAAATTACATTTGAAGATAAAATTATTTTATCATGGAATAAAGTGAGGGAAAAAGTATTTAAAAAAGATACATAATAAAAAAATTAACTATATAGGAGCATTAAGAAAAAAAGGAATGAAAGAAAGAAAAAAAGAGTGAATGAAATAAGAAGAAACATAAAAGTAAAACGAATAAGAGAAAGAGTATAAAAACAAAAAAAAAAAAAAAACAATAAATGAAGTAAGAAATGAGAAGTTGAGACTTGGCCAAAGGATAAATATTGACAAAATCTCCTTTGACTCATTCATTTATGTACTAGTTGAGTCACGTGGTATGCGTGTGGGAGAATAAATTTTTAAGTTTGATCCTACTTTAAATACATAGTCTCCTCAGAAGTTGATTCCATCAACTGGAGGAAGAGAAAAAATATTTTAAAAAATTATATTGAAAAAGAATAAAAGTTATATATGAGTTTTTTTTTTTTTTTTTTTTTTTTTTTTTTTTTTTAAAGTATGGACGTACATTTGAAAAGAAATTGTTAGGTATTTTTATTAGTTGACAATTTATTGGCAATCTTGTAAAAATTCAAAAAATAGGTTCAAGAAGATTTCAGATTGCAGAGCAAGAATTTGAATTAGATTTAAAGTTAAAGTTGCAGATTTTTTTGAGTCGAGATTTGAAGAGATAAGGATAAAGGCTTGGTCAAACGAAGATAAGACATTGGTTGAAATTTAGAGAGATAAAGATAATGCATTGGTTAT